CTCTCTGTTGGTACAGATTAGTGTTGGCTGGTGATTAAACACAATATTACAGCTCTGCTGCTATTTAAGCCACATTTTTCATCCAATCCACAGCAAGTGTTTCACAGTAACAGTTTCCAACTAACACAGATTCTGTACCACTGCTGCTTTAGCTGTTATTTATTTTAAATGAGTTTTTCCATTACTGCTTAAGCCAATACTCCTCGTGCCTGTTTTTTATCTGTAGTAATGACTTTTCCTTGAGTGGTGTCACTTTGACACTATCCATGTCTCAGGCTGCTTCCTGTCCTCTTCTTTGCCACAGGCAGCTTCCTGCAGAAGAGTGCCAAGCTCTTCTTCCGACGCCGTCACCAGCGCAAAGACCCGGGGATGAGCCAGTCACACAATGACCTGGTTTACCTGGAGTCTCCGGCCGCAGTGGAGCGAGCGAGCCGAACAGCCACGCTCAGCCGCATGCTCAACCGCAAGAGTAAGAGTAAGAGTAAAGCCAACGGCTCTACCTCTGTGGGGGAGCCACATGCGTGACCCCCCCAATGTCCCTCGCTCACCTTGACCTCAGTCCCTACCACTTCAACTACCATCATCACCTCCACCTCAAATTGCACTGGCAAACATCTTGGCTAACCTACTCCCCTGCATACTGGGGCTGCTGCGTTGTGGATGGGAAACAAAAAAAAGTGATATTTTAAGGCTTCGAATAAGACGCCACCAACAGCAAGCGTGTGCATGTGTGGATCCTGCCCTGGATTGATTTCAGAGATTAGTCCTTTTTATTTGATTTTATGCAACATTTCAAAATCTTTAAGTGCTTTTACGGCTGTTATGGACAGAAGGGACCGCCGTGGGCCATCACTCTTTACCTCACTGAAAGCTGAGGGCGGATTCAAAACTCTCCCTGCTGTAAACCGTAAGTTGCCTACGGTGACTCAACAGGACCAAAGACGAAGAGCCGAGTGGTGTTTGTATGATTTGCACAGTTTTTAGTACCTTTTAAATTAAAGTGCAATGACAGGAGCAACTCTTGTGCAAGAGACTGTAGTTCATTCACAAAGGGAGACGATTGTTTCGCTGCGAGGCTGCTGTACGTGGGAGCAGCACGACTACTTGTTGACACTAATATGAAATCGTTTATTACTCGATGATATTCCCAAATAAAGCTAGATCCAGCGTGTTCATGACATGTTTAAGGCTAAAAATTTCTGCCTTGGTTGTCAATTTCAAAAAAGAAGCAGGGTGTTTTCAAATCATATGCAACCGTCTCCTGTTGTACACCACTGCTCTCAGCAGAGTTGTTGTCGTGTCGAAAGGGAACTGAAGCTTTATCCAGGGACCGCAGCGAGACACACTTGTGCTAATAAAACGGATCCTTCCTTACATTTCAATAGCATGAACTGCTCTGTCATTTTACGTGTTTCTAAAAGATGTGCACATGAACAAAAGAAAAGTGTGAACACCTACGAGAGCAACCAGGTGGCTGCTGCTTTTTTATTTTAAATCCAGCTAATGATTGTATTTTTGTCCTCCTGTGAGCAGCTTGTTTCTGTACATCATGTTAACTACTGTTTGTTATTCTGCTCAGAGAGCTGAATGGTTGCCTTACAGTTATTCTGTGAATGATGTCCCAGCTGCTCGAGTCTTGTTCCTCAGCTTGACATGACTTTGGCTCCTGACGCTGCAGCCGCTGTCAGACAAGCGGGCCTGAGCGACTGTGGTGACCTGTTGGATTGGCTCTGATCAGGCAAGCATACCACTGTGTTTCTGCATCATCAGCAGTTTCTATAATCAATAAGCCTATGCACTTAACATATCTGTTGACTGGGTTGTTTACAATATTCGACTACCTGAGATATTAAAACACTCTTGCTCTTCACAGTAACTCTCTTCTGCAGATCCTGCGTTGGGTGTCTTTGTATTCATAATTACATGATCTGCTTTAATCCACCGTCACTGACTGTTGTCTGTTTAAAAACAAATAAAAGAGAAAATCATAGAAAGAAAAGGCCGAGAAAATAATCATTCAGACAGAAGCACCTTCCAACTCTGAGGAGAGGAATAGAGGGAAACGGATTGTTTTAAACCGAGCTCAGCTTCTTGCAGCCTGCGAGCATTAACTGCTGTCGTGCAGTGAGCAGTGGGGCTGTAGGAGATTAATGATTTGCTTCCTGATGTTTTTTTGTCTTTCTGCTCTGTGTGCGCAGAAAGTGGCTGATTAACTGTTGCTGCAAAGCGTCAGTCACTTCCTTGCAGGGACTGTAACTACTATACATACTGAGTTAAGCAATAAATATTGATTGAATAACTAAGACTGTGGTGATGTCGATGTTCTGACCCGTTCATCTGATTTGCTGTTTAACTTCCTTTTAGTGAAATTAGTCTCACGGGATGGAAACCTGTACTTACTTCAGTTCAGTTTGTTCTGTGTTTACATGTTTACAGTTTATACTACTTTAAACATCTGCATCAACAAAGAAATGCGCTCACTGGACACTTTATTAGGAACACTTTGCCAATACTGCTGGACCTCCATTAATTCTTCACACTAGGGATGCAACGATACCAATTTTTTCAAACCGATACGATACCGATACTTGGATCTGAGTACTTGCTGATACAGAGTACAAAAACCGATACTTCTACCACACACACACACACACACATGCAATGAATTGGAAGACAGGTTTTATTTTATTCTCTGCCGATAATAAATAATATCTTAATAAAAGTGACCACAAAAAAAATTCAAGTGAAAAATAAGCACTTCTGTTAAATTATTGCAGAGTCTCCACATTGTAATTTAACAAAATATCACTGAACTATTGGCACTGTCTCGAGCTTT